AGGGAGGGAGGAAAATGATACCTGTCTTTATAAAACTTATAAACAAAACTAAAAATGATATTCACTTTGCAGATGTGTGCCCAGTATCTAGTTATCCATATGTATTTAATGCACCTATGCTCAAATGAATATACAGGTGATCCTTGCTTAACAACCACTCGTTCAGTGACTGTTTGAAGTTATGATAGCACTTAACGAGTGGTACTAATGACCTGTCCTCAAAGTTCCAGATGTTGCAGTGTCCCTGCAGTTGCATGATCATGATCTGGGTGCTTGACAACCAGCTCGCAATTATGATGTTGCAGCATCCCGCGGTTTCATGATCACCATTTGCAACCTTCACTGACAGTTTCCAACAAGCAAAGTCAATAGGGAAACCAGCAGGAGGTTGCAAGTTGCGACCATGTGATGTTGTGCTTAACAACGGTGCAGGATTCACTTAACAACAGCAACTGGAAATGCCAGAACTGCCATCACTAAGTGGCATGGTCATGTGACATCGTGCTTTACGACCACATCACTTAGGGATGGAAATTCCAGTCCCAATTACTGTAGTTAACCAAGGACTACTTATAACTTGCATATCTTGAGCATATAAATGTATATTCATTTTGTGTTATTTATAGAACCCAATAGTTGTGTATATTCAGTATCAAAGTGCTTAGAAACATTGCTTCAGCTCCTTGTATAAAGCAGGACTTGCACTCTGCAGAATAGGAAAAATAGTGCAGTCCAGAGAAGGGTTAGGAAAATTAGTAAGAGATGCCACTGTAGCCATTTAAAAAGAAGCTGAACTTTCATAAAGTCTTACACATGGAGCGACGGTAGAAGGCCTTCATTTTGTCTTTTTCCTTCGGTCTGTTCCTCAAAAAGGGCAGTCTTTTCAGTGCAACCACTTTTATGTCATAGCATAAGGAAAAACAGAAACGGTAAGATGAAAGAAAAAGGGGAGAAGAACAGATGGAAGTTAAATGTTGAAACTAAGGACAGAAATGAATGCTTGAGTTTCCACTAGGTGCAATTTACTAAAGGCAATTAACTTCATGTTGCTGAATGACAATGAAATATGAAGCCTTCATAGTGAAGCTTCTGAAACACCCAGAAATCGTGGAAATCCTGTGTGAAGAACATAAGGAATTTCCATTGTTCAGGACTGTTAAATGTCTGAAAAACCAATCTAACAAAACCCAAACAAAGCACTGACTATGGACTGGGGAGAGGGAAAGAGAATTAGAAATCGCCAAGCAAGTTTTTGTTTTTAAAAAGCTAATTTGGTTTATTAAACATCTTTGAGCTTTGCCCTTACTAGCTACCAACATGTTGCTGTATTTCTTCTGACATTTAATTATTAACTTGAACCTTTCATTAAATTGTTCTGAGTACTAGTATCAAGGTTTTACCTTTTTAATATAATTGTCAAGGTTCACACATTGCACTAAGCCATAATCCTATTTGTTTTTGTCATAATATAATGCATGAATCAGGGTCAGAGAATAAAAGATGCTTTGTTCCTAGACAGTAAATCAGTTTGAAATTATGTTTGTTGTTGGCTTACTGATTGGGCTCATAAATTATGTTAAGTGATAACATGCTTTCATTATGGCTTAGTGTGATATGTGAATCAAGCCACTGTAGTTTGTTTACCTGTTATTTATGTATTTATTATTAAATTTGTACGCTGCTGATTCCCAACGACTCTGGGTGCCTGACAAGTAAAAAAAAAATCAGCATCGGCCTAATGTGGTTTCTTCCATAAATCATAGTTAATAAAGCCTGGCTTAGCATGTTATGTAAACTCAACAACTGCAACTCGTAGTGATGAACAAATGGGAATATATACTGTGTAGTTTCCTGGCTTAGTCCTAATTTGTTTTTGTGTCCTATCAGTTATCCACTCCACATAGACACAAGACAAGGACCATTAAAATTAGGAGGGAAAACAAATCAGAAATTGGCCAAATGAGCCAAGATTATTATGTTCATCTGCAAAGCAGACTTCAAGTTATATTTCCATCTTTTTCTACTAGTCACGGTTAAAACAAACCATGGCTAAGCATGACCAACCATACACTATCCAGTCAAGAAAGGAAGTGCAGAAAATTGTAACAATCTGACAGATTATCATTTTAAGTAATAACACTTGGGTATGGGGGCAGGGGCTGGTATCAATCAGAAAAATGATAGCATAATGAAACAAAACAGAAAAATATGACAATGAAGTTACATTAAAAACAAACATATAGTATATACAAAAACAATTTTAAATTCAGAGTTACAGAAGGATTTTACATGGATCTCTTATTCCAGATTTGAAGTCCTATGCAAGAGGACCTGGTAACTAGAAAATATTTGTTTTTCAGTGTGGGATTATTCCAATCTAAGCACAAAGTATATACATACATTATTAATCTCAGAAAAATAATAAGAAAGATAAAAAGTACATCCAATAACATTAACTTCCAAGAAGTTATATATGTCACTACCACCTTAGAATATGTTAATTTCTGTATATGACCTGGCCCCTTATCCATTTACCATATATGCTACATTTTTCACTGGAGGATTTTGCTGGAGTGAAGGGTAGATAAATTTGCTAGGAGTTAATTAAAAATCTTCCCTGCCTACCAATTCCAACTCTAATTGCCTCTCTCATCTAAAGGGCCAAGTACTTCCAGTTATCATCTCAACGTACAACTCCATCCTAACATTTCAATTCTGAATGTATGTTTGCAGGAGTAAACATCGAATATATGCATTGTGTATCAGCCTGTGTTAACTATTTAGCCAATTTGGTGGAGAAAGTGGTGGTGCTGCACCTTGAGGAACTCTTAGATTATTTTGATCCTTTTCAGGCTGGCTTTACACCTGGATTTGACAAGGAGACCATCTCGATTATTCTGGTGAATTATCTGTTCTGTGAAGTAGGTGGGGAAGAGCTACCTTGTTGATAGTCCTGGATCTCTTGGCAGCTTTTGATAACATTAAGTACAGTATCTTATTGAAATACTTGAGAGAGCTGGAATTGGATATACCACTTAGTAGTGGTTTCATTCCTGTTCTTCCAGATGCTTCCAGAAAGTGATACTGTGAGACTTTTGCTTGACCTTTTTGGATTTATCCTTTAGGGTCCCACAAAGTTCTACCTTGTCCCCCATGTTATTATCTATATGAAGCACTGAGAAGGAACATTCATAACTTGGAGCTAGATGTCATTAATGTGCTGACAACACTCAGCCAATTTTTTTCCTGCAAGGTTGGGTTGCAGTTCTCCAAGGTCTAAGAGATAGGATGGGAGGAAACAAAGTGTGATTCAGTATAGACAAGACAGAATTTGTATTGATTCTAGGAACTGGATGTCACAATCTGGCTGCTATACAGCAGAAGAAGCTAATAATCTGTAATGGTGAAGCTGACAGGGAGCTTACCCCATCCATTCTACAAATTTTATCCAGGAAGGAGAGGTAAAAAGTGAAAAAAGTCACTCAAATCTATATTATAGATATACTGTACTTCATAGAGAGTATATTCAGTCAAGCAATACACAAAAATGCAGGTCAGAATGTAGCTATAAATCACAAGCTATCTATTATAAACCTAATATAAGGACAAGAAGTATTTCGGTTTCTCTGAGATGCACAGAGAGTGAATAGAAGCTTCAGTGCTTTTTGCATAACATCTAAAATGATATCTGTCATAAATGTAAAACTACAAAACTGAAGAACATTTTCTGTTCATTTTAAAACCAAACATTATTTAAATTGTTTGTATGGAAATCTATAGTTATGATAAATATAAAAATTAAACAGCAAAGATACTATATTTACACCTTTTGGTATGTAAAAACTTTAAGATACTTGTTTTATGAAATACATTATGTATTTTTCCTACTTTATTAATGAAAAAGCTTCTTTTGTTAATTAAATCAATAAAAGAGTATTAAAAACTCATGCATTCCAACAATGGATATACATAGTTTGTTTAGATATAGCTCAAATAACTTGAGAGCACAATTCTGTACAGCGACTGGGCTGTGAAAATAAACAATACTTAAACAATGTGCCTCATTCTGCAATTCTATACATGTTTTTTACTGTAAATTCCCACTGTGTTCAATGAATTACTCTGCAGAAAGACCTTAGCACTGCAGTCTGAATTTCCTTCCTTTGGGGTTTCTATGCTAAACAGATCCCTTTTCCTACCTATATTTATATAGATCTCTAAATACTAACCATGATCAACATTATTTAACTTCCAAGATCAAACAAAATTGGCCAGATGTTGTTACTGAGTAGATTAGCATATTATTGCCTTGATGGCAGAGCACAATTAAAAATATATAAGGAGAATGGATATTTCTATGCCAATTGTTTGTTTCCCTAAGTTTATATGATAAGTACAGAAGATGGATACTTAAAGCTAGAATGGTGGAGGTTATGATACTGGACTAATAGTTGGGAGACCCAAGTTCTAGTCCACCCACAGCCATGGAAGCCTTTGGGCCAGTTACTCTTTCTCAGCCCAACCTACCTCACAGGGTGTTTGTAGTATGGAAAAACAGGAGGAGGGACCATTATGTACATTGCCTTGTGCTCCTGAATGAAAGGTGGGATATATATGTAATAAGTACATAAATAACTTCCTCATCAATATACAGCTGAGCTCTACATATAATGTATATGAACAAATATATTGCTTCTTTCATGCAATGTTGGAGGCAGGGTTGCACTTAACTAACTCCATCAGATGACAGGGCTTATCATGGTCATGCAGACAAATAGGATCAGCTCTATAACTAGATAAATAAGCATTTTACAGGAAGATCGCATGATAAAAATGTCATGAGTGAATGAGAAAAACAATATAGAAAAAAGAATACAGGTAAAGGAGGTATAAATTTTATTAGCCAGCTCTAATCCATTTTTAAATTTTACTTTAAATAGTGAAGCCCTGAAAAACATTTAGAACCCTCTGCTGTAGAGCTTGCTTCTCCATTGTCAACCACATAGTAAGATTATTAAAATACTTCAAACCCAGCATTTCCCCCCATATATTTTGAACTGGAAACATTACAGCAGATACTATTCCCTATTTAAATTATACAATTTACTCACTGCTGCTTTTTTTAGTCCCCACTGTCTGGCCATCTTCAAGTGAATTTGAGCCCACAGAGGAACTATCTTGACTATCTTGATGTGGCAGCTGAAGAAATCCTTCACTAGATTCTGAGCGGGTTGGTGTCAGAGTCAGAGATTTGAGGCGTTCTCGGTTGACATCTTTCTTTGATTTTATCAATTTCCTCATTTTCAGAGTAATCCAGTTGCCTCTCCTTTTGAAAAAAAAATGAAAAAGAATGTGAAAGGTTTATACAGTCTGAAGAGAAACCAGTCAACTGAAGATGAAAGGCTACAATTTCTCATCTGATGAAATTCTGAAGACATAAGCATGCAGCAACAGCCCTTAAACGGTATGTCATGGATCTGGAAAGCTGATTAGATCTGGCTGCCCTATTTAAAGATATGTTCCTGGGCAGTCACTTCCCTTTTTTAAAATTGGCAAGTTATTTAAGCCAAATAATGTTCCCAAATTCAGAAGAGTCCTAACTCTGGCAAGATTAAAACCCTTCCAACAACTGTTCTTGAAGAGAAATTTCAAGATATTCCATTTGAACAAAGACTTTTTCCTCCATGGTGAGTGAGCTATAGAAGCATTAAGCCATGTTTTGTTATATTGCCCTTATTACAAAGATTACTGTTATAGCTGATAATTCCCCATCTAGTCAGATTTCCAGCCATCTGGATATTGTTGTCCAAATAATGTGATTTTATTTCTGATTCTGAATTAGGCTATGTATTTCTTTATAATTTGTAAAATGCATTGTACTTTGACCACATCAGTTTTATAATTGTTTATTTTTATTACAATTATTTGCTGTCTCACAATTTGTCTTCTTCTTTTCTGAATTGGTACATAACCAAAATAAAGTTGGCTGGCTGACTGACTGACCGATGAAAAAGAATGCTAAATTTAGAATTCTTTAGCATTACAAAATAAATATGGCTTTTTTTCTGGTGGTGTCAATGCAACTGAAACATTCCCAACAGAAAGAAAATGCTGTCCTTTAACTTAGTGATCACAAGTTACCTTCTAGGGGGAGATGGTTCATAGAATTTATACTGATCCATAATCTTTTCTTCTAATTTTTCTTTTTGTCTTCTCAATTCATTTAGCTTGTCACTATAAAAAAATATACATTTCAGAAGGACATATTTCTACAAGATTGCTTTTCCTTTTGAGTTTTGTATCTAAATATCTTAGTATTTTTCATTGTAGGTCTCATTTTATAAATAAATGTGAAATTGTTTTTCACACACTACAGGACTGGCCCAGATTACCTCCATGTAGATTTTGCATTATGGAAATATTATATTTTTCAATACTGAACCCACAATATGTTCTGCGAAAACATCCCCAATATAGAACATGGATGAATGTCAGGGAGAACTACTGGATTTTCCCTATTACAATTGTGTGTGTGTGTGTGTGTGTGCGCGTGCGCATTTTAAAAAAGCAGTAACTCCGCCCCTGCAATTAAATCACTTTCTGAAATGTAATTTTTAAAACATACATTGCTCAAAATGTGAGATTACCATGTTTTACATTGACTGAATATTTTCCTTTGAAAATAATATTGTAAATATCAAAAATTGGGATTTCTCTTTTTCAAAGCAAAGATTTGTTTATCTCATAACTCCTACACGATTCCCCCTGCTTTTTGTTTTAGGTTGTGCACAACTCTCTCTTCAGATTAAGCAGAACCCGACTACAATTCCCTTTTGCAGAAAAGCTGCATCTCCAGTCATGGATATAGATGAAATTGTGTTAACAGTGAGTGGGGTTGGCATGAAAATTCTCCCTAATCCAAAAGTATGTCATTATGCATTTACCTGGAGTAGTTCTTAAGTATTCACAGCAAGATTCAGACTGTATTTTAATGATGTGTGCATATATTAAGTATAATGTGTTCTTTAACAGTCAGTTTATATCTTTTATATCTTCAGCCAATTCAATTCAACTCAAAAGGTGCATTTTAAAGAATCTGATTGTTCCTTATAAAAATACAAACATCAGGGGAAGAAACAGATTGCTTATAGCTTGTCATAAGAAATCTGTCAATCTCTTTAATTGCCAGAATCTGAGTAAGACTCATTCAGGTTAATTCAACACTGAATATGCTTTCATAGTTGATTAGGTATTAGACATTTTTCATCAGTTCTTAACAAAATGTCCCATTAACATTTTCATGATTTTTATTTGACAGTTCAACTGCAACTGTGAGGGTCTGGATGGGGAACAACAGGCTTCAACCAAACCATGGCAAGAATGAGTGGTTTTGGGTTTTGAGCCCCTCTGGTTCTAGTACTTTACCATCTTTGGTACTAGATGGGGTTGCACTGCCCCAAACAGACCTGTGTGCATGTGGGGGTCCTCCTGGATTCACAACTCCTGCTTGATGAGCAGGTAGCAGTCGTGGCTAGGAGGGCCTCTGTACAACTTTGTATTGTGCGCCAGTTACGCCCATTCCTGGATTGGGGGACCTACTCACAGTCACACATACTCTGGTCACCTTCCGGTTAGACTACTGCAATGCGCTCTACATGGGGCTGCCCTTGAAGAGTATTAAAAAACTTCAGCTGGTGCAAAATGCAGCAGCACGAGCAGTTATATGCGTTTCTGGTAGCACACGTTATACCTCTGCTTTGCAAGCTGCATTGGTTACCAGTTTGTTTCTGGGTCCGATTCAAGGTGCTGGTGTTGACCTTTAAAGCCTTTCATGGTATGGGACTGGGTTATTTGAGGGATTGCCTCTCCTCAATTTTATCTGCCTGTCCTACCAGATATAGCAGAGAGGGCATGTTATGGGTTCCATCGGCTAGGGAACTACATTTGGCGGGCCCTAGGTAGCGGGCAGTTTCTGCTGTGGCTCCCATGCTGTGGAATCTTCTCCCCTCTAAGGTGAGGTTGGCCTCATCACTGTTGAGCTTCCGGAGATCCCTGAAGACCTGGTTATGCCAGCAAGCCTGGGGACCCCAGTGGATGGATGAATTAGTGAGGTGGCTCTGTTATTTTTAACATCCCTTCATCTAATATTCTTTTAGTTTGGTTTTTATATCTTTAATGTATTTATTGACCGTGTTAGCCCTGTTGTACACCACCCAGAGTTGCTTGTTTGTGAGATGGGTGGCTACATACAGTGTATAACTAACTCACTAATTAACTAACTGATTTTGTAGTTGGTTTCCTGTGTTGATACCCACATATACTGCCTTTGCTCAACATGGAAGAGATCTTTGCTTTCCATATTCTGTTCCAAAAGTGTTCTGTTTTGTAGCATTAAAGTCTGTATTTGGTCCAGTAGATGTCTGTTTTCTTCTTCTAAGTTCCCTTTTAGTTGGCTAAGCAGCTGTCAAAATGTGCAAACACAATATTTAGTACAGATAGTGAGCCAATTTTATTTATACAGTGCAAGGAATTAAGACAACAAATCAAGTAACACAAGCTTGCCCTGGAAAATACATTTTTTTCAGTTGCTTTTAACTGAAAACATTCTGCTGGTTATGTTTAGGTTTTACTATATTTTTGGCTATCAATAAAAATATCTAAAATTGTAGCCAATGGGAATGGGATATGGCAAATCTCTTTTTGGGACATCTCAGTTCATTTCTCCAGGGTTTTCAGCTTTCTCTTACACACAGAATGGAACAATGATTACTCATCATGAAGGCTTCTAATGTTTAGGGGTAAAATAAGAATCCAACAATGACAACACATTCTGTTATCCCAGAAAGAGTAGGGATTTTTAGATATCAGATCTGTATTTACATTTAATTCAATCCATTTAGTGGTCAACAGAGATCTGTTTAATAATGGAGTAAGAAAACCTGGGAAAAAGATGTAGCAAAACACCAGAATGTGGTAAAAGAGGATGAATAATGAGATAAAGGTTCTATGACTCATCCATCTGCGTCACATCAGGAATCATGGTAAATAATCAATGTTCCTTCTAAACTTGTTAAGAGGTGGCATCCTCTTGCATACAAGTTGACTCTACTGTCATAACTAACTAGCCTACATGATCTGGAATGGATGAGCTTAAGTGAAAGGAAGAAGGTGTAATACTTTCTGCCTATAGGTCTCTTATACAAAAGCAAAGAGAGCTAACTGATAATGCTTCATAAAGAAATTTGAAATAGATCAAGTGAGTGACTCTGTGAAATTGGTGAGTGGCTCTGTGTATTGGTGGAAAAATTTCCCAGAAGAAAAACAATCAGTAATTCTCTATAAGAAACTTTTAGCCCAGGATAGATTGACAGGCATAGAAAGCATGGAGGAGATGGCTGATATTTCTCTACACAACACATCTGGACTTAAATCTATGATTAAATCTGCCAGAAGAAACCTGAGTTCCTTAATGCCCTTTGCCGTCCAATTAAAACATTTGTACCTACACCAATGGGAAAGTTACCTTAGTAGGTTACAGGCAGAGCAAATCCAAGAGTTGAAATGCTTATACACTGGGCTTACCATTTGGAATCCAGAAATGTTATGTTTTATATGTCTTCTGAACTGGACTATGTCCCTGTATGTGTTCCCACCCAACTGGAGAGACTTGTCTGTTTTGACTTGCTGAACTGTCAACAGATTCAGTGCTTGATGCAGATTATCAGGTTTCCTTCACCAAAAGCATAAAGGTGTTAACCTTTCGAGTGAATGGCATCTATTGGTGGCAGTCCAATAAAGAATGACAAGCAAGTGTAGAGGGCAAAAACAATGGTAACTCTATGGAAAGACCTTCAGATTAATATCATGAGACAAAAAGTGATTAAAAGACTTATATTGAAAAGTGGTTGTTTTGAGAACTTGCAAATGCTATGTTGCCATTCCTACACACCCCAAAGCACCTTTTAGGAGATGAATCCAAAAGAGTTCACAGCCCTAACAGCAAATTCAGATATGATTTGTTTTTAGCAACAATTCTTGACTGTTCTCCAAAGAGAGTGGTATTAAGTCCTTTATATCTATCAGAAATGGATGACTTATTGGATAGATGAAGAGCTCTTCCCCACAGTCACATCAGTGTATTTCCTTCCTACTATTAAGATGGAAGAAAAATATATTGTCATAAATTGTGCTGCCCCCACAGCCCACTTTCACTGCATCTCAATAGCCTGCCTATACTGCTGCCTTCACAGGATTTAACATGGGTTAGTTTCAGGGCAGTGACTGGTGGATTCCCTGCCATCCTTTTCCAACCAGTGGGGAAAACCACCAATTGCTCTCTTGAATATGTGGTGAGGTTCATAAGAACATAAGCAGTGCCCTGCTTGGCCCATTTTACAGAGCAGTCTGCATCACTTTACACTTGCTCATGTTGAATGACATCTGTACACCTACTGCCCTAATCCCTTTGGAACTCTTCTCAGTCCCTTACTGTTATTATCACTCTGAACAATTTAGTGTAATCAGCAAACTTGGCTATTCTAACAGTAACACCCAATTCCAGATCATTTATAAATACATTGAAAAGCACCAGTCCTGGGACAGAACTGGTGCAGAAAGGTCAGAGAGTCATTCATGCGACAGTGTAGTATACTACATATGTCCTGAATACCTGCTGCTGTCTACTTTCTCATCTATTTCTGAAAATATATAGTTATTTCAATATAATCTATATTTAGCCTGATTGTTTAAATATATTTTGGAGATCAATTCTATTTCTTCTATTTCTTCCTTTTTCATAAGTTTTTGTTATTTTACATTTTTTTAAGACTTCCACTGTTTTATGTTTGAATGTTAGCTCCTCCTCTCTCTCAAGAGCTCTGACTCAACCCCCTGGTTGGTAGGGAAGTCCAGTAGCTAGCCCAAGCCAGACAAACACTCAGAAACCTCCACAAACACATGGATAAATCTCCCCCAAAATCTCACACTTCTGTTCACCTCTCCTTTTTATGACCAATTTCCACCAAAACTTCCCTGTTTAGCACTCTCTACTTCTCCTCTGTTCTTAGCCTTGTTTTAATGGTTGTGGGTTCAAACTTTCATTTTTATTTTTTTAGCCTTTATTTTAATTATTCACTGAGTGTTTCTTCTACCATGACTAACAATCTCCTGGCAGACAGATGCTCCTGTCAGAAGAACAGAGGACTGGTATAACTATGACAATTATGAAAGATAACTATGAGACAGACAATTTGGGGCAGTGGTTAAGGCATCAGGCTAGAAACTGGGAAACTGTGAGTTCTAGTCCTACCTAGGCACAAAGCCGGGTGACCAGGTGGGCCAGTCACTTTCTCTCAGCCCTAGGAAGCAAGCAATGGTAAACCACTTCTGAAAAACCTTGCCAAGAAAACTGCAGGGATTTGTCCAGGCAGTCTCTGAGACTCGGACACGACTGAATGGGTAAAAAAAAAGAAAACCAACTATGTTAACCCCTATTGCAACTATTTTGTTCCTTTTTTTTTTCTTAGGAACAGAAGATGGGAGAAGATTCAGAGGATATATGTCCTTTGTTTTTGTTTATAAAACACTGCTTTCTGTCTGTACCCATCATGACATCCATTTTATGCTCCTAAACACAGGGGAAGAAAGGCACAAAGCTGAGGAGAAAGGTAAAAGACAGAAAAGAATGGTGAAATGGCCAGAGAGCACTATATCTAGTTGAAACATTTAGTATCAAATGATCCCCAACTTTCCTGGGACGAATGAAAGAATAAATCCATTGTTAGATGCCTTCTCAAACTTAGAAATCTTCTTAGCTCTTTATGTAAAACATAAACCCAATATTTGATTCAATAAAGGAAAAAGTATTCAAGTTCTTCATGGTTTCTAATATCTTGTCAAAAAAGTACAAAGATGAGTAATAAGCATTTTAAAAAATCCATTATGATGACACCATGAGCTAGATTCAGGCATCACATTCTGTGAATGGAAGACTCTTTTTTACAAATAAGTATTTTCTTTGATGAAGGGTCCTGTTGGGGTTTGGGGGGGTGAGAGGTCAAATTTTGCTATTCCATGTAAAACAGACCACCATCACACTCTGTTCTGACTTGTTCCCAATCCTTCAGAGCAGAATTTTAAATAAAATAATGATATGAAAAAACAGCCATCAAAAATATTTGCTGAGTGAAACTTTCCTAAGGGCTTTTATCAACAGAATCAAAGCCTAAATCTAGCCCCTAATGATGTTTCAAACTACTCCCACAGATGTCCTCATGAAGTCCTAGGACAGAATAAGTTGAGGCCAGAGAATGTAGAGACCATATTAAAAAATATGTTAAATTATGAAATTTGTAATTGTAAAGTTACTTATAAATCCATACAAATATACCATACAGACATTTAGTTACACTATAATAAATTATAAGGATAATATAAACTAATTACCTCACACTGATTGTTTAATTTTGTATGAGTAATGTCTAGTTGTTGATACTGTTCTTTAAGTTTAGAAAATTCAGCCTCCAGTCGCGTTTGCTCTAGTTTAGAACTGTTTAGTAAAGTTTTCAAATTCTTATGATCAACTTGAAGAACTTCATTCTCTTTCAAAAGTTGTACGTATGTATGGTTTAATCTGTAATTAATAATGATAAAAATGAAATTACAATAAAGCTTGCTTTCACAAAAAAGGCTGTAAACATTGGTGTTCAGGTAGTATTGTTGTTAACAACAAAAACAATGCATGAATACCAATGTTTACAGTCTTTTTTGTATATATATTTTTCTCACAATATTTTAATATGAATTTCTATGAATATATTGTAGATTGGTTGGAATGTTCTTAAAATACCTTGGCTTTTAACAAAGCTTTTACATGTGTTGAGTAAAATCCAATACTGCATTAATGGAAATATACTGTATTTTCTCCTCCTCCATTTCCCCTGTATTCCTCAAAATCTGCATCATCGATTTTAAAAACTTCATTACAAATTTTGGTGTATACACATAATTTCAAGGCAATGAAAAGTTATCTTTCTACTGGTTCTGCCAATGGAAGCAATCCCATCAGCTGAAAGACTCCACCGCATTTCAGCTGTTGTGATCATGGTCAGTTTCAATCTCCCTAATACAATATACTATATACACAGAGTATTCATTAGTATTGCTTTCTCACCTATCATTTTCTTCACAAAGCTTTTTGTATTCCACTGCGACTGTTTCATGTTTCTTGTTTTGCTGAAGCATCTTCTCTTGCTCCACTTTGAGAACGTTTTCCAATTCTTCTAGCTGTACTTTTTGCTGACGTAATGCATTGTATCTGTCAAGTGAATATAAAATTACAAAAACTACTCTCTAGTATAAATTGTAAAAATAATTAAGAAAGTAGATTCTGCTTTTTTTATTGATCTGTTTTATTTCCTAAATCAATGTAAAACTATTATATGGCTTTCTTAATTTAGCTAGATTTAACACAATGTAATTACCTGTCTTCTAAATCTTTATGTTCTACCTCAAGATTCTTATGTACAGATTTGAGGTTTCCATGCTTAGAAATGAGAGATTCATATTCAGCTGCTTGCCGCTCATGAAGTTGTTCCAATTTTTCATGATCTTTGATTAGAGAATCATAAAATGATCTCAAGTCTTCTCGTTCCTTTATTATGGACTCATTTTCATTTTCTAAGGTAGACTGTTGAATCAACAGCTGTGCGTTCTGGTTCATAAGTGATGTACTTTGTGAATTAATTGCTGAATTCTCCACCTATAATGATAAAAAGTATAATTAGCTAATGTATATCAGACTCCTTTTTAATGTATGAAAAAAGTTTGTTTTTCATTGCCAGCTTCCCTCAATCTGGGTACTTTCAGCTAGCATGGCCAATAGTTAGGAATAATAAGAACTGAGGCCAAAATGTCTGAGGGATCCAAATTGGAGAAGACTGAATTTAGCCAATAAAATTATTTTGCACCTAGTTTGCATTACAGAAACAATTTAAAGAGTGGGAGGGAAGCAGCCAACAACCACAGCAGAAGCCTGCTCAGCTGGACTCCTTTTTTCTCATCCCCGCAAACTTATTTCTACCAATTGCCCTGTGGCATGAATTCCTAAAGATACAAGGAGGACTGCAGATGAAGACCATTTGCAGAACTGCTGGATTCTACATCCCACTGTCCACAGGGCCATTTTAACCAAATGTGTTCCTCCTATAGGAAGGATCTTTGAAGAGAGAGAGAACACAGGAAAACCTCATTGAAAATGTCTGCTTAAGTGGACTTAAACAATCAGGGTTTCATACCATGTATGGTGGTTAAACTCCTTCCCTGCTTCACAGTCTCAAGCAGACACAAAAAAGTTAGGTAAGTAGATTTACTGCAGAGAATTAGGAAGCTATGTGAAAAAAGTTATCTAACAGCAGCTGGAATCCTACACTCCACATAGATTAATTCCCCATTAGACCATTATAAGAATGGTGAGATACAGAGAATGAAAACAGCACTATCATGTGATCTTCTGTGGAATGAAAGTATAAAGTCCAAAGCCAGATGCCAAAGAGCAAAGCCACTCTGTGGTCAGGTAGGATCATTAGTAAAGAGAAAGAATGGCACTGGTATTGCTTGGAAACTACAGAAAAGACTTACAATCAAACATCTTATGTTCTTCACATAACACTAATGAAATCACTTGCACTATGTGATAAAAAGCATGGTTTTCACTAACAATTGTATAGATAGTCCTCACTTAATGACACTAATAGGGACTAATAACTTTGCCACTAAGCGAAGCAGCTGCTAAGTGGGAAATCATATGATTTTGACTGTGCTTTCCAGCTGGAAAGAGACAAAACTAGTCAGTTTCACATCTTCAGCTTTTGTTTGCCTCCTAACCACTCCCCTGCCCTTTGGAATACTCAAATGGCTGCTTATCATCTTGTACACATCAAAAGCAATGTGATTGTGCTGCAACCCAGGGCTAGGAGCTGCAGATGCACTATACAAACAGCTTACGGTATTCTCTTGAAATTTCTTTCTCTCCAATCTCTCTGCTGGGGGGTGGTGGTGGAGAAAAAAAGCAAACAATTTCTGTAGGTGATCTCTCCTTTGCCTGACCCTTCCCCCCACCCACCCCCTGGAGAGCAGAGAGATAGGAGAAGGATTTCAAGAGAGTAAGCTGTTTGCTCTTTTATACATCGTGATCACATTGCTTTCGATGTGTAGAAGAGCAAACAGCTTATGTTCTTGCAGTCCCTTTCTCTCTGATCAATCTGCTCTGCAAGGGGAAGAATAAAGAAGAAACCATAGGTCAGGCACAGGACAATGCATACTGACTTTAATGGCGTTCATGTGATTGAGGGATGCTGCAAAGGTCATAAATGGGCCATAAAGTTATTTTTTCAGCACTGTCGTAACTTTGAACAGTCGCTGAACGAATGGTCAGTAAGCGAGGACTACCTGTATCTTGTGAATGGAGAGAATATACATATATGAAACCAGAACCTGAAGCTTGGCATTTTGAGTTTGCAAGGTTGTATTTTGCTCCTGTAAGGAAACAGTTTGTCTTTGAAGTGCTAAAATCTGAGCTTGCAAATTATTATTCTGTGTCTCAAGTTGCTTTAGTTGCGTTTTCAGGGCTTGCTTCTCTGCCTGCAGAGTTGCATTCTTTAGGAAAGAAACAAAACATGTTAAATGCATGCACCTTTTCGATAAAAAAAATCATCATCATTTTTAGAATTCTATATAAAACATTCCAAAATGTGTGAACTTTCAAAATCAGTAAGATGAAATCACAAAATATAAGCATAACTTAAAAACAGACAACAATAAAGCTAAAATCCCATGTTTCATTCTGTAACTACAGAGACATATTTACACAACACAATATACGATTTAAGAAATATAAATGTTGAGGTTGCTATGATTGGCAGGGCATATTTAAACACACTAATACAACAATAAATAAAAGATGCATTCCCCACGCACATTATATTGATTACATAAATGTATATTTACAAACTGCTACAGCTTTCATAAACATATATTTAAAAGATGCCAAGATATCATTAAGGGTGCAAAGCAAATATCAAGATCTCTGTCACTTTTTGTGAAAGATCTTAGGTAACAACCAGAGATCAAATGTAAGGATATACAAATATTCATCCTTGATCCCCAAAAAGTGTGTCAACTGTAGTGAAAGATCAATGTACTGATTGTTAGTCACCAATCAAAGACTACTTTAGCAAACAGAGAACAATGGAGATCACAGTGACAGCATTTGCTATAGGCAATTTAAGTACCCTGGTGAGAAGAGGATTTAGAGGAAAAAATGAACAGTAAATGCTCTAAGATAGGCAAAAAAACATCCCACAAGTCATCTCCTGCTCTACTGTACAAATGATGGCAATGATCATCCTCCACAGAAGATTGAGTGGTGGGAAACTACAAATAGAAATTCAACTACTGAAAGGTGTAGCATTCATCTGTGAAGTTCAGCTTAGGGAGTCTGTGATATTGTTATTGATACTGGAGATGTGCTGTGATGGTGTGTTCAACAACTGCAAAATTGCAAGGCCACGTTTAGGAGGCCCCAGTGCACCCATTTCATTTGTTGAATAAAATACAAATAATAAACAACACAAGAAAGGTAGAAGACATGGTCGAGTGTTACTAAATCCCAAATGAGAGAGTCTTCCAGGTCACCCAAACATGGGAAATGGAAGAAGGTACTAATCTTGTTATTTTTAAACAAGAAATTTATTTCAGGAGGAGAAAAGAAAAATTAACCTCTGACTGCTTGGAATGTGATGAAAACTAAAGCATCAGAAGAGTCATATACTGAATCCAATCAATAATCCTCGAGCCAGAGAAGAAGCAAAAGCAGTCAGTAATAGAGAAAGCATTGGGTTAATGGTTACCAGATATAGTGAAGTTTTCCTTGTGGGATTAATGAAAGTGGAGGTCTTGTGCCACTGTCAAATAATTAAGTTGGAAGATCTGAAGGCTTAAAATTGTGGCAGACTGAAAAAAGAAACACAATTCCATCTTGGACGACAGTAAGGTTGGATGCATACAAGAAGGGGCAATGGGACTTCCAAGTGGGGAAAGTGGCAGACTGACATGTCTCCAAATCTGCGGAGATGACACTGAGGCTAGAACTGTGACCAGATGATGAACCTGGGCCAGCGGGGCTTCTCCGGACAAGGAGAAGCCAAAGAGATTGCCCACATGTGCTCCAGAAGGCTGCTTCTCATGAGGAAGCCAGCAGGACCCAGAGGGACTCTGCGGGCACCTCATGAGTAAAGACCACTGGGAGCTGAGTAAGGAAGATCAGGCTTGTAGCCTCAGCGGAGCCTTTAATAGACACTGGGTCTGACCAAATCCCACTTTCTAAAGCACTTTGGATTATAACCATTTAAAGGCTAAAAGAGATCTTCTGAGTAGCAGTTTTAATGGACCATCCAATGAACATTCCTACTGCCCATGGTGTGACTAACAGAGAAGGAAAATTACAAAAATTTAAAAATTAACTTGCAGCAAAAAGCAAATTAAGAGTTTGGATTAAAAAAGTTTTTAAACAGACAAAGGGACCAGTGGTGTTTTGATGGACTTCGTTTATACTAAGTTCCTTTGAATTAATTAAATAAATACTACATACCTCCATGGGTTCTCTGAGGAAAATGACTGGTGGACTCTTTTAAAGAAAAAAGACAAGGGACTGTTGTGAAAGTGAACAGACTGCAGTATTACAAACAACAAAGAAAAAGATAAAGTTTCACTTTTTTTGATGTTTCTTTGTTTTGGATTATAAATTAAGATAGAAAAAGATGGCTACTACTAGAAAAGCAGCTAAAGAAGGGAGGAGAGGATCACTGATTGACCAATCTGCTGGGGTTACACCTGAGATTTTACAGAGGATGTTTGAGAAATGGGAAAGACTGCCACAGCCTCAACAGCAGCTGTGGCAGCATCCACAGAGGAAAAATTGATGAATTTGGAGGAAAGAATGAATAAAAAATTTGAAGAATTTGTAATATAGACGAAAGAAAAAAAATTGTCTTTCATTACATTTTATAAATCCTTCATGCTGATATATATTTTTCCTAAACAAGTTTTCCTAAAAGTATTGCTACACTCTGCACAATAAAAATATTGCTACACTTTGCTCAACAATTTTGGCATTACTAGAATTAAGAGAAAAGGAATTTTGTTTGAGGCTGAGGGCGGTTTGAGAAGAACCTGGTGAAGATGTAAGATGTAGTCCAGGCTGTAACAAATTTTTTGGAAAGGATAGAAGAAGACATGGATGCTGAAGTGGACAAGATGTATAGAATTAACACAAAATATGCCAAATTAAGAAATGTACCAAGAGTCACATTACAAGTAGTCCTTAACTTATGACCATTTGTTTAGCGACCGTTCGAAGTTACAATGGTGCTGAAAAAAGTGACTTATGGCTGGTCCTCACACTTACAACTGTCACAGCATTCCTGCGGTCACATGACTGTGATTCGGGTGCTTGGCAACTATCGCACATTTACAAAGGTTGCAGCATCCTGAAGTCACATGATTGGCACTTGTGATCTTCCCCACTGGCTTCTGACAAACAGGGAAGCCGGCAGGGAAGGTTGCAAGTCGTGGTCACAATGTCTCATTTAACAACCGTGGTGATTCGCCTAATGACTGTGGCAAGAAAGGTTGTAAAATCAGGTGCAATCATGTGATGGCTCATTTAATGACTGCACCGCTTAATGATGAATGTTCTGGTCTGTACTGCAGTTGTAAATTGAGGACTACCTGTACTGCACTTTGTCAGGAAGAGAACAAGAGATCAGATTCTACATTTTAATACCAAGTTAAAGATAGATAACTCACATGTAATCCTGCTTAAAGAAACACTCATTACAATTCTGCATAAAAGGAAAGAATATACTTTCTTGACTGATAAATTAAAACAGAAAAAGATACCATTTAGATGGGATTGATTGGAAGGAATGATTTTAACCTTCAAGAAGCAGGGTTTTTGGCTAAATTCAATCCAAAAGGCAAGATAATTTTTTGAGAGACATAAGGTGGAACTAGAGGAGATGCAAGAGAGGCAAATGGAAGGAGTCACGTAGTCAACATTACAAGTAGTTGAGGAAGACACCACTACATTAGGCACCACAGATACAGACTTTTCAAAGTTCATAAAATAAATATGGAGTTTAAATGTTTAACGTGGAATATAAATGGGGCAAATGCCTCCCAGAAAAGGAAGAAGATATTTCATTGTCTGAAGAAATTAAAGCTGGATATAATTTGTCTACAAGAAACGCATACAAGAAGTAAAGATAAAAAATACCTGATTTATAAACATTTGGGGGAAGAATTTAGCTGGTACAAGCAAGAAAAATGGAGTTGTTTTGTATATAAATCTACAGTTACAATAAAAAATGATATTATCTGATGACCAAGGCAGATATGTGGGGGTCAAGATTAACTTGAATGAAACTAAGGTTCTACTATTGGGGGTCTATGCCCCAAATGATAATAAGGCTATGTTTTTAATGGACTTATGGGAAAATTAATGGACTTGTCATATGAAAATTGGTGTCTAGTGGGAGTTTAGAATGGAGTGGTTTGCCCACAACAACATAGAACATCTGTAAAAGGGATTAAAATAACACAAGTTAAACTACCAAAAATCTTTTCTGAAATGATGGACAATCTTAAACTGATTGACATTTGGAGGCATACAAATGGTGACTCTAAGGAATACATATATTTTTCGGAAAGACAGATCTTTTTCCAGAATAGATATGTTTTAGATTTCTAAAAGTCTGGCCATAAGTATCAACAAAGATGACTAAAGGTCCAGATGGACTACCAGCTTTTTACTATAAATATTTTGAAGATGAGCTTTTATAACCTTTTCAAAAAGTAAAGAATTCTATTTTAGATAATGGAAAGATACCGGATAGCTGGACGGGGTAAATATAGCATTGATCCCCAAACAAGGATAAGATTTGACTTTACTGAAAAATTATAGACCAATATCATTATTGAACAATAATTATAAAATATTCACAATGATCCTAGCTGAAAGGATGAAAAACGTTTTACAAGATTTTATCCAAGACCAACGTGGCTTTTTACCTAAGAGACAATTAAGAGATGATATTAGAAATGTTCTTACTATATTAGAGTATTTGGAGCAACACAATGAAAAACAGGCTGCTTTGCTATTCCTCAGTGCAGAGAAAGCTCTTGACAATTTAAATTGGACTTTAAAAAAAATGTTGGATTTTGGAGAGAACTTCATTACATGGGTGAAATAGATATACGCTTCACAAGTGGCCCAAATTATTATGAATGTGGAATTGACCAAACTCTGTGAAATACAGAAAGGTTTGATTAGGGAAGGAACAACAACTACTTTTGTAAAAGACTGGAAACTCTTTATGGATTTTTTGCTGAAAATGGACAAAAATGAACTGATGATTTCAGGATTTATTGATTAAAAGGGTTGTTTATGGGAAGAAGGGAACCATGATATATAATTTGGGAGGGCGGAAAAGGTAATAATTATGTTTGGAATTATAGATTTGAATTAATTAGAAGATTTCTTCCAGCGGGAAATGGTGATTGGGCTTTTTAAAGAGGAAGCAAGATAATAGGACCTTGACGTTTGGACACTAGAGGAAGCTAGAGGATAATAAATTCACTTCATCAAGAAGCAATGGACCAAAAATCTTTGAGGGATGTTTTTGAATTCTGTTCTTTAAAATTACTTCATATGATAGATAGATCATGTGTCAATGAGGTTATAGAAGAACAAGCTATAACGGATGAGCTTGAAATGAATTTGAATGTGGATTTAAATGTGTCAAGCAATGAGAAGGATATGGAGATACAAATGAAACTGATGGATAGTTCACTGCTTAAAGGAGATGTACATTAAATCAGAAAATTTTAATAACTTTTCCTTGGATA